CAACTTAAATTTTGGTTTATCCTTTAGAGTAAAAAAAAAAATAATCTTAAATTTGGTGTTGCTTGTAGCTGATCCGCTGTATTAAAATGTTAGCTTTGTCTTATAAGCCCAGGTATTAAAAAGAATTGACAGTGCTTTATTTTGCTTCTACGAAGCAGCAGCCCTTGGGAGCGCAGCTATGAAAATAGAAATACCCTTGGGGGGGAAAAAACGAATAAAATAGGTAATTAAACTTCCTTTAAGAAATTGGCTGAATTGTGAGGCTCATTTTCTTCCACAGCTGCTTTAATGTGGATTTAACTCAAATTGTTCATTATAGTTTAATGAGATGGGAGAGATCCAGTATATTGTTCACAGTAGATTGTGGTACGTATTGTAATTTTTATTAAAGCCTGACTGTGGAAAGTTCTGTTTCAAAGGGAACTCAAATTTTTAACAACTAATAAGCGCCAGACCTACCAAGAATTGAGACATAGAATAACTTTCATCACAGTGGGATAACTATCCATAATTAATAATTTCATAGATCATTAAAGAAAACTGGGGGGAAAAATTGAAAAGCCAATTTTGAATTGACTCTTTCTGTGCCTCTGTATGGAAGAGTTATAATGTCTGATCGCCTTCAAAGTATTGTGCTGTGTGTTCCTATAGCCCTCGAAGGGATACATAAAAAATAATACTTTCTACAATCGCTTTTTGCTGTTCGATATCTTATAATGCTCTCTGCTACAATTTGAAAATTCCAGTTCAAGAAAACTTTGTATACTATGAAGATTTATGAAATATAAACATTTATATGTCTTATCTTTTTTGTTTACATGTTCAGTTCATTTAGAATATGTTCGCTTCAGCCTGTAGAACTGCGGTTTTAATTGATGGTCTGCCTAAAGTCTGTCTATTAAACACTCCCTGTTGTTCTCATCATCTTACTGGCTGTGCTGGGATGTAACATAGGCTTCCAACTGAAGGAGCACAATTATATATGAAAAGACTGAGAGGAAGGCGCATCAGACAGTCTGTCTACATGTAATTCTAAGCAAGTAACAAAGTTTGAAAGTGGAACACTGAATGAGGCTTCTAAATGAAAAACAGCTTATTCTCTTCAGTAGAGTCAGGCATTCTGAAACTATTAAACACCGCAACTGCTATAAAAATAAAGTCAAGACACAATAGATGCCTGTCTAAAGACATGGATCTATATGGAGATTTTTAATAATTTTGATTTTAAGGATGCGAAATACATATAGCGTCATAATGTGATTTAATCTTACATACTACATTAAGATGCAATCATAGTATGTATGTGTATATATATAGCAAATATCACCTGACTCCAAGGCTCCTAAAAACCACAAGTTTCACTGCTATAAACATATGCTCTCTGGTTAGTGTGTGTGTGTGTGTGTGTGTGTGTGTGTGTGTGTGTGTGTGTGTGTGTGTGTGTGTTTTTGCAGACCACTTTTTTTGTTACTGAAAAAATTGATTCATCCATGACATTTAATTGGCCTGTTACGCAAATTGTAATATGACACAGGATTTCATTGATTGGGATGATATCCATACCTTGTGGCCAATCCAGTGTCAGCAGTGAAACTTGTGGTTTTTAGGAGCCTCGGAGTCAGGTGATGATATTTGCTATATCACTGGTGGCACATGTTAAGGTTATGTCATTCTATCACACGTGCAGGACAAACATGGGGCGGGCATGCCGCCCTTACAAGCTGTGAACCAGAGCTGCACACGTGGAGTGCTCTGCTGGAGATCTGTTCTGGGACAGTTGGAATTACATAATCTATTCTCTTGCTTTGTGCTGACTCTGTAAACTGGGTCTACAGATTACATTAAAGGGACACTATAGTTACCAAAACAACTTTAGTTTAATCAAGCAGTTTTTATATATAGATCGTGCCCCTGCTGTCTCACTGTTCAATTCTCTGCCATTTATTGTTTAATCACTTTGATTATGCAGCCCCTCGTCACACCTCCCTGCATGTGACTTGCATAGCCTTACTAAACATTTCCTGTAAAGAGTCATATAATGTTTACACATCCTTTATTTCAAATTCTGTTTAATTTAGAATTCATTATCTCCTGCACTGCTAATAGCTTGCTAGACCTTGCAGGAGCCTCCTGTGTGTGATTAAAGTTCAATTTACAGAGCAGTAGATAAAAAGGTCTAAAGTGCATTAACATCTGATTGAAAATTAAATTTTTTTTTTTTTTTATGCAGGCTGTGTGAGTCACAGCCAGGAGTGGTGTGGCTAGGGCTGCATAAACAGAAGCAAAAGTAATACAACTCCTAAATGGAAGAGAATCGAGCAGTGAAACTTCAGAGGCAAGATTGATACACAGAAACTGCTTTATTAAGCTAAAGTTGTTTTGATGATTATAGTGTCCCTATAATGAATTTTGGAGAGGGTTTCACACATGAGAGAGAGTCCAAAGTGTATTTATGTATGTATCCCTTTTTTTCAAATAGGTAGAAAAACATATTGAGAGCTCCATGGGAGTTTATTCTTCTAAAACATTTTACAAAGTGTACATTATTTTAAAAAAAAAATCACAATAGATAAAACTACTCAGATTGAAGTAGGGAAGCTGGATGACTGTGTTGGCTTAGTTTGAAACTTGTTTGTGCACAAATCTGCACAGGTATGCATCTGTACATCTTTATCTGTTTATTTGGATTATTTTATTATTTCACTGTAGCTAAAGTATGAATGCCTGGAGTACCCCTTTAATGTGATACCAAATGTATATTGTTTTTGTTAGAGTGGTAGACATTTATTTTATTTATCTATTTATGTATTTATAAAATATTTTACCAGGATGGATACATTGAGATTTCTCTCGTTTTCAAGCATGTCCTGGGTCCACAAATACTTGTTACAATATTACAAAAATACAATATACAAACTGTAAATAAATATACACATACACACATATATAAATTTAATACATAACAGGTTATAAATATAGTGAGCCATGACAGGTGCATTCTGTATTGAGGTACGTTGCCATAGATCCTTTAAAAGATTTTAGATTAAATGAAGATTTGACATGTTTCCCTGAGGTTATTCCATAATTGCGGTGCTCTGTAGGAAAATGAGGATCGAGCCACTTTATTTTTGTAATGTGGTATGCTAAATACCGTGCTAGTACTAGATTGGAGGTTATAGGAGGTGGGAACAGCCGGGGAGAGCATTCTAGCCAGGTACGGTGGGAGCTTCCCAGAAATGCTCTTATGCACAAGGCTGGAAATATAAAGAGTGCGTTGGGATTCCAGCGACAGCCAGTTTAGCTCTTTTCACATGTCACAATGGTGGGTAAAGTAATTACATTCTTGTACAAAGCGGCAGAACGAATTTTATAACGTATTAAGTTTATTAAGGTGGGTTTGCAGTGCGGGTGCGTACAATACATCCCGATAATCAATGACCGGCATTGACCTTTGTTGCACTATCCGTTTCCTTACTGCAGTGCTTAGGCAGGATTTGTTTCTGTACAGGACACCTAGTTTTGGGTAAAGCTTTGAAGAGATTTTTTTAATGTGAAGGCCAAAGGATAGCTTGGGGTCTAGCAACATACCTCAATATTTAAAAGAGCAGACTGCTGACAGCGTGCTATTTGAATTTGTTCTGATACACAATTGTTGATTTTGTAGTTTACATAATTTAGGTACAGTTCCAAAGCGCATTGTAACGGTTTTGTCAGTGTTTGCGAAGAGTTTGGTATCCGCTATCCACTTTTCTACCTCTGTGAATTGGTTTTGGAGCACAGCCTCAAGCTGCGGTAGCTTGGGTTTACTAGCGTAGATGACAGTGTCATCTGCATACACGTGTGCAGTTGAGGATTTGCAGACGTTAGGCAGATCATTTATAAATTATGTGAATAGTAGGGGGCCAAGTATGGAGCCTTGGGGAACACCATACGTGACAGGCAGAGGGAGGGAAGCGCTATCAGAAATGGCCACATATTGCAATTGGTCTGAAACATATGATCGAAACCAGGTTAGCAGACGAACACCTACGCCTGAATTTTTAATCTTTTGCAAAAGAATGCCATGGTCTACTGTGTCAAAGGCATTGCCAAAATCAAGGAAAATACCTCCAGTTAAGTCTCCTTGTTCCATGCCGAAAGCATGCTTGATCAGGGGTCAGATAATTTGATCGTTGATAATATTCACATAGTTGCGCATGGACGCATTTATCCAAGATTTTTGACAATACAGGGAGCAGTGATATTGGGCGATAGTTAGATACCAAAGTACTTTTATGATAAGGTACTACTTTTGCAGTCTTCCAAAGTTTGGGTATGTATCCAGACACCAGGGATTCATTGATAAGGGGAGTGACAGGTTTAACAATTGCTGGAGCACTGAGCTTCAGCAACATTGCTGGGATTTGATTTGGTCCACAATGGTTTTTCATTTTTAAATTATTAAGATGTTTATTAACGACACTAACAGGCACAGGTCTGAACCTTAATTTTTCTATATGAGGATTTTGAAGATTCGGCAGGGCCTGATCTTTATTTGTAGTCTGTAAATGAGTGTCATTTGTTATCTTAGCAACCAGGGTGGTAGCACATCCAACAAAATAATTATTAAAGGCATTTGCTACCTCTGCTGTGTTTGGTTGTCCATTTTGACAGTGAAGGGTTGGGAGTAGATTGCGGGGGTTTCTATGCGATTTTAATGATTTCCCAGAAGTTTCTTGGGTTTAATAGGTTGTTGTTCAAATTTTCACTGAAATATTGGGCCTTTGCCATTTTTGTTTGTTTTGTGCATGCATTTCGCCATTAGACATCTTTTTTTGTTTGGCCATATAGAGAATGGGATACTTTATAATTTTGTGAGGTGCGGGTAGGAGGGCTATTTTTTGTAAACCAGCACTCAGCAGATAAGTTAGAGGAACAGAGCAGGCCATGGTGTATGATAATTTGTGTTCCAGTTTGAGGTGTGTGCTTATGCTGGTAGTGGTGTGAACAAAATTGGATTGAGAAAAGGGTTATTAAGAATAACAGTATGGTTATATTTGGATTCATGTTAGTGGTATGAGGTGTGAAGATGAAAACAAAACACAAATAGTGAAAAATAAAAAGATAAATAAAAGTATATAATATTTGTGTGTGATATAAAGCTATTTGTAGGGAGAGAGGGTATGTGTTCTATAGGGTTCTATAGGGTTAAGAGATTGGAAGGGTGTGCTGATCAGTGTTTGCACCTGTTATTTCAGGAGAATTAAAGTTGTGTGGGAAACTATCTATAAATGAGGAAATGAGCATGGGGTGGGTAGGGTGATACCCTTCATATTGTGTTTTTTCTTTTTTATTGACTAGTGCAGTGATGGCGAACCTATGGCACGCGTGCCACAGGTGGCACGCCGGGCCCTTTCTGTGGGCACGCGGCCACAGGTTCGCCATCAATGCAGAGTAGGCGCCTGCCCGCCCGAAACGGCAGGCGCCTACTCTGCTTCCGGGTCGGGAGGCAGGGGGAGGGCTCTAGGAAGCAGCTCCCCTGTCCTCCCGCGCGATGCTGTGTGGAGCATTGCGTGGGAGGACAGGGGAGCTGCTTCCTGGAGCCCTCCCCCTGCAGTGCTTACCACCACCGGACCACCAGGGATCGCTGTGTACCCCCTTACCCCCCCAGAAGTAACCCCTACCCCCCCCCAGCAGTAACCCCTACCCCCAGAAGTAACCCCCACCCCCAGAAGTAACCCCACTCCCCCAGCAGTAACCCCCACCCAGCAGTAACCCCTACCCCTGCCCAGCAGTAACCCCTAACCCCCTGTAGCAGCACCCCTTCTAACCCCCCAGCAGTACCCCCACCCTCCCCAGCAGTAACCCCTCACCCCCCTCCCAGCAGTAACCCCCACCTCCCAGCAGTAACCCCTACCCTCCCCAGCAGTACCCCTACCCCCAGCAGCAACCCCCACCCTCCCCAGCAGTAACCCCACCTCCCCCAGCAGTAACCTCTTTTCACCCCTTCCCCAGCAGTAACCCCCCACCCCTTCCCCAGTAACCCCACCTTGCCCAGCAGTAACCCCACCCCAGCAAACCCCCACCCCTCCCCCAGCAGTAACCCCCACCCCCCAGCAGTAACCCCTCACCCCCAGCGCATAAGCAGTAACCACACCACCCTCCCAGCAGTAACCACTACCTCCCCCCAGCAGGTAACCCCCTACCCCTCCCCAGCAGTAACCCCACCCTCCCCAGCAACCCCCCAACCCCCAGCAGTAACCCCTACCCCTCCCCAGCAGTACCTCTAATCTCCCCCAGCAGTACCTCCTACCCCCCCAGAAGTTCCCATCCCCCACACACAGTACTTATTCCCCCACACACAGGCACCCCCACACACAGTACCCCAACCCTCCCAGCAGTACTCCTATCCCCACACAGTACCCCAACCCTCCCAGCAGTACCCCTACCCCCCTCACACAGTACCCCTACCCTCCCAGCAGTACCCCTACCCCTCCGCAGCACCCTTACACATATAGCACACACACAGCACCCCCCACACACACACACAGCACCCCTCACATACAACACTCACACACACACGCACCCCCCACCTCAATGCAGTATGTGTGTATTCAGCAGTCTGTGTGTGTGTGCGTGTATTCAGCAGTCTGTCTGTGTTTGCGTGTATTCAGCGGTCTGTGTGTGTGTACTCAGCAGTCTGTGTGTGTGTGTACTCAGTAGTCTGTGTGTATTCAGCAGTCTGTGTGTGTGTATTCAGCAGTGTGTGTGTGTGTATTCAGCAGTGTGTGTGTGTGTGTATTCAGCAGTGTGTGTGTGTGTGTGTATTCAGCAGTGTGTGTGTGTACTCTGCAGTCTGTGTGTGTACTCTGCAGTCTGTGTGTGTACTCTGCAGTCTGTGTGTGTACTCTGCAGTCTGTGTGTGTACTCTGCAGTCTGTGTGTGTGTGTGTACTCAGCAGTCTGTATGTGTATTCATCAGTCTCTCTATTCAGCAGTCTTGTGTGTGTGTATTCAGCAGACTGTGTGTATGTATTGCATTTGTTGGAGATACTAATAAATATAAGCTTAATTTTATCTATTATATTATATCATTATTTAAAATTTGTATCATTGAACTCTCTGTGTTCTTTTAAAACAAAAGTTATTAGTTCGGACAACAGTACGAGTTGTTTTTTTCTAAACTTAAACCTCAGTATTTGGGTTTAATTGCCGTGTTGGCACTTTAAGGAGAAAAAATGTTGGCATGTATTGCGGTTTGGGCACTCGGGCTCAAAAAGGTTCGCCATCACTGGACTAGTGTAACTTTTGTGTTTTTCTACATGCCATTGTATATTGACTGCTCTATCACTGCTGATCAACCTTCACATGGTTATTGACAACATAAGTGTCCTCCTGGTGCTCAGCTGGAAGAGTCATAATGTCTGCCTGTTGGAGTGTGTGAGCACTGAGAGTTTCACAGCAATTGCTAATTAGGGAAACCATATCGAGAAGCAGACAAATGACACATATCTGCTGCATGGGGCTAAAACAGTAGATGTAAAAAAAAAAAAAAAAAAAAAGTGTGTTCCATTTTCTCCCTTGGTAAGTTCAATGTACATCAATTGTTGTTCTTTGAAACACTTGGTGGTAAAAAGCAGGACCTTCCTAAATAACGGGATGGCTATTTCAGACACAGCTGCTGTAGTCACGCTCCTTGAACATCAGAAATGGACTGCAGCCAACTTGCTTAGAATTTGCGGTCAGACTGCAATAGAATAGCCAACTCAGTCAATATTCTCTATTTTAAGGGTAAAATATATAGACAAACTGTGATAATTGCAGATAAACCGTCAACTGCAATAGAATTGCTTACCAGGGTATATTCAGCTGAATAAGCTCTAAACCAATGTACTTTTCAGATTGCATGCCATATGTATAAAAAAAAAATAAAACAAATAACTGCAAAATTTAAGGAATGCAATTTATTCTGAAAATTGAATTCAATCCCCCAACCCCCTTTTAATGGTCGAAGGAATGCATATCAAAAGAAGAGACACTAATTCAGGTCAAATCCAATAGTCTTGGATTCCCCTCCCCTCTTTAACACTTCTGTGTTCTATCTTTTGAACCAATTTTGTATCCCAGTGCAAGTATTTTCATTGAGAGAATCTTCTAGTTTGTTCTGCAAAACTCTGAAGCCCATGTTGTTGTTGTTATATATTTTTTATAACCTATTACAGTCAAACTTTGGTACAGAAATCATTCCTATTATTTAAATGCTGCCTCTCTTCGTGTCCGCCTTCAAAGAGTTCTAGCCTTCTGAACTTGATCCGTTCTTCATCTTTTCTGGATTATACCCTCCATCTTGCCATGTTTCCCAAAAGCAAAGTTAAAGATTATGGAAACAATAAGGTGCAGTCCTGTACAGACCAAGATGCAAAATGAATTCAATACTCATGGCTTTACCCATGTTATTAACATGCCTGATCTCCCAATAATCATGCTGACACTTACACTTTAGGTCCTTTTCAAAATCTACATTAACATTTCCTGTAATTGGAGTACAGTACCAGACTTTGAATTCAGACCTGACCCGTTACGTCATTTGTCTCTTCTCTGTGCCACCAGTTTCCTTCATGTGAATTTGAGCATCACCAAGCCACCACCATGCTTGACTATAGGCAGTGTTCTTTTTAGCGTACACTGCATTCTTCTTCCTCTAGACCTACTGCTGATCTATTGGTCCGAAAAGTTCCAGTTTTGTTTTTGCTCCACAGAACAGAATCCCAAAACGTGTGTGTGTGTGTGTGTGTGTGTGTGTGTGTATATGTATGTGTGTGTATATATATGTATATATATGATTTTTCGAGCATATTAAAGCTGATTTTTCTTGTGATTTTGGGTCAGTAGTGGCGTACACCAAGTTCTGGCATGTTAATCTTCTGTGTTTAGTACTTGCCTTACTGTTCTCACTGAAACCTCAGTGCCTGTTGCCACCAGGTCTTGCTGCAGGTCTCTTGCAGTCACTCGAGGGTTTTCACAGTCTGCCTTCACAGAAATCTGATTGCAACCATTGATAGCTTCCTTTTCTGCCCCTTCCAGGCAGGGGCGGATCCAGAACCAAATCTCGGGAGGGGCACTTAAGTGGGCTAGAGCGGGGTGAAACAGGCTGCAGCGGAGGAATAGGGGACTCTTGTTTAGGGGATAGAGGCTGTACACATATGCGGCCACACACAGTGATATGGAAACACAATAACAGATACAGACACATACACTGGCACACCCACAGATACAAACCTATACCTACACAGGCACACACACACACACACACACACACTGGCACACAAACACACTGGCACATAGATACACACATACCTACACATGCACACTGGCGAAACCGCACACACACATCCCTACACATACACAGAATGACACACATACAAGGTAATAGAATATACAGGCATAACTCCAGGTACTGAAGGTGTATTTATTGGAGGGTAGAACACGTTTCAGCCCTTGGGGGCCTTAATCATGTTTAAGTCCCTCTAGGGCTGAAAAGTTGCACTTTTATGTGGTGTTCTACCCTCAAATAAATACACCTTCAGTACCTGGTGTGTTGCCTGTATATTCTATTACCTTGTATTGTTGGACGGATTAGCAGTGTCTATCTATTCCAGAGCACCTTTGAGGCTGTGGACCAGAGTGAAAAGCGGAACCTGAGTGCAGTGGACGACGTTGTCTGTGGTACACACACAGATACATACTCACAGATACACATTAACACTCACAGATTCACACACTGACACTCCGATACACACAGATGTCCACATACCTAAACATACACACAGATGTCCACATACCTAAACATACACACAGATGTCCACATACCTAAACATACGCACTGGCACACAGATGCACACATACACACATACCTAAACATACACACTGACACACACAGATGTACACAGATGTACACATATCTAAACATACACACACAGATGTCCACATACCTAAACATACACACTGACACACACAGAAGTACACAGATGTACACATATCTAAACATACACACACAGATGTCCACATACCTAAACATACACACTGACACACACAGATGTCCACATATCTAAACATACACACTGACACACACAGATGTCCACATATCTAAACATACACACTGACACACACACACAAATTGCAGCTTCCATAATGTTAAGCACCCTCCCCTCTCCCCTCTGCTTAAATACCTTTTCTTTGCAGGAAGGTGACTTCCTGAGGCTGGCTGAGCCTGATGGGAGTCTGAAGCTGCAGAGCTCTCTCTCCTCCCTCCTCCTTCTCTTCCAGCTGCCTGCTGAATGTGTCTTCTCTCCCAGCTGCCTGTGTCTTCTCTCCCAGCTTCATCCTGGGTGTTCTCAGCCCGCGCGGTCTGTATGCTGGGAGGAAGTAACAGTCACTTCCTCCCAGCACTCCCTGCAACTTTAAAGGGCCCGGTCTGCCAAAGGGCTGCAGCACCCGACCGAGCCCCTAATGAGGTCGCTCAACTGATGGCAGCTGCACTATTTTCTCGGGGGGGGCAATTGCCCCGTTGCCCCCCCCCCCCTGGATCCGCCACTGCTTCCAGG